CTGGCCGAGCAACTCGCGCGAAGAGAAGGGTGTAAGTAGTTCGTATATGAGCTTTGATGTCCAGCTCACATTTCTTTTAGAAATCGTGTAATCAATGTTTCTTCCTCGGCGCAAATCGCGCGTGATGCCGAGGATGCCGAGGATGCTGACGATGCTGACGATGCTGACGATGCTGACGATGCTGACGATGCTGACGATGCCATTTCCGTCAACGCTGAGCAGCCTGCCAATGATGACGCCGCAGATATTGCTGTCATCTCGCAAAATCAACGAGATCAGGAGGAAGGTGTCGAGGACACGCAGCGGGAGACCGACCAGTTATCTTCCGACGACGATGCTAGTGATGCGTATGAACCGTCTGATGCAAGTGGCGCTTCGAGGCCTCTCCGTTCTAATCGACAACCGCGTTTATTCTTCTCCAGCCCGAGCAGCTCGGACGAGCAAGAGCGTCCTTCGGACGGAGAGCAGTCGTCTGATCACGAATGTATCAGCGACATTGAATTGGACTCGACGATCTCGTTGGAACAATCCTTGGAGGCGGAGCCAGATGAGGAGGATGTCATCCAAGAGTCGGATAACAACCAGTCTGACTGGGCCGGTATTCAATTGTCCGTGGAGGCGAACTCCCAGGAAAACCAGATTTCTAGGGAGGCGTCGTTACACTCTGGCGACATTTTCGGCAGCGGTTCTGCACGTCACGATGACAATGCAGGCCTACTCGATGCAGGAGAAGAAGACCATGCGATATTCGTTCGCGACAGACAACTTCTTCCCTCCCGTCCCCCGACACCACTGACGCCGATATTGGAGCCGGCGAATTTGCGCAAATATCTACAGTCACGCAATCGCGACAAGTTGCAGGCGCTGCTCCACAATATCCAAGATCGGCTCGACTCGATGGACAACGTTCGCTCATTGGATTTCGTCACGGATGTCCGAGGTGTTCAGCTGTCGGAGCACGCGCAGGAAGTGCAGTGGTTGACGGGGCACCGCACACTACTTCCTACACTATTTTCTCGACCTGGTGACCCCCAGTCCGCCGTCGTCAACGAAGACGACATCCAACTTGTGAAGTTCCTCGCTTCGCGACCGGCTGCGCACAAGCATTCGCCCAATTTTTCTTTCATCAATTCAACCAGCCAAGATGTTGCTGGCCAAATCTGTACTGGTCTACATGAAGGGAAGGCATGCCTCATTCACAACATGATCTGGCTGCCCAAGGACTTTGAGTTCACGACAGAACGTTTGTGGAATGAATATGCGTTGCCGGCGGACATGCCGGTAGACATTCACGGTGAGTTTCTGCATTGCTAACATGTCAGTAATCTAACCAGGAATCAGATGTTCGCAAACGCTGTGCCAGCTGGGCTGAACCATATGAATACGGATTACTGCGTAAAATTGTCGACAGTGCTGACGATACACAAGACATCAAGTTTGTGCTGGCGTGCAACTTGAGCACACGCTCGTTGCCACAAGGACTCGAGTGGGTATGTTCTATTTTTTCATTTCTAAAGTCTCACATATCATCAGGAACCTTGATGATGGCTTGGCGCAGGGTTGGGGCATGACGGCAGCTGCATACCCCACCGCGGGACAGTGGGTCCATCCAGACAATTGGTTGAACTGCGGTTGGGTGCTGCTTCATCAGGCTGGGGTGGTCACCTACGCCCACCAAGATTCGGATGGAAACTGCACCTGGATCATTCCGCATAGCGGCGTCAAGTTCTGGTGCTATTTCAATCTCAACGATGAGCACCGCAACCTCGATCGCGCAACGCAGAAGATGTTGATGTCGCATCTTTGTTGTCTCATGAATTTTGATCCAGAGCCGACAGAATCGCAGCTGCCAGACACTGACCTGGCCAAGTCCCATCCTGATCTCGCGAAAAAGACGATTGCTGAAATCTTCGATGTCGAGGTCGTTGTGCTATACCCGGGTGATGCACTGTATGTGTCTCCAACTTGTCATCC